AGCAGATAAAGACTGGAGGAACCAGAGATGGACTCCCTTCAGTTCAGTTCCTGCTGTGGAGGCTGAAGTGAATCTCTGGTCTTTGGTGATACTTAGTCTTGAATGATGCGACTCTTTGATCTCCTCACTGCTGCTGAGACTGTGAATAAAATCCTATTTACTCACTTTTCTTTTTCTCTTACTTCCCAGGATGCCTTTGTGCAGCTGTATGAGTCCAGACCTCCAGTCAGCTTCTGGTCCCTGAGGGCTGTGTTTGGACTGGTTGTACTGGGAGCAGTTGGGATCACACTGGGAGCCTTGTTCACCCAGAAATAAAAGTTGCTGGACCGACCCGACCCGACGAGTCCCATAAGGATCTGACGTCTTATGAACAATTACCGTCATTTTACAGATGTTCCCTGTTTCGTCCAATGACGGATGACCTCCAGTAAAATAACACAGCAACGTATTGATTTACATGTTTACTTTCAAAACAAAGGCCAAAACTGTAAATAACATCCAAGACCTGCATTTTTACAAATAGCATTTATTTTTCACAGCGTGTGACGGTGTTTAAATCAGCTTAACGGTACCATCGTTTCACCGGCATTTGCTGCTGTTTAGGAGGGAATAAAAGGTGCGTCGTGTTTAAAGTGTTATTTCACAGATTTACAAATATTACATAATAAATAAAGATAGTAAACAACGTCCACAGTAAAGATGAAGCTGTTGTTCTACAGTGACAGAGAAAAATGTATGTTTGTTGTTTTTCACAGTTGTTGAACGTTGACGTGTTCCATTTTTCTGGCTTCCTCGCTGCCAGACTGTCGCTGTTTTTCTACAGACTTGTTTTTATGTCATGGTTATTAAAGGATTAGCGAAATGCCGACCTTCAGGCGACTTCATCACACATGGACTTCCTCTGTTTTGGTGGGGCTCACAGTTTCTTTCTACATCTAGCCGTACATACAGTACAGACCAAAGTTTGGACACACCTTCTCATTCAATGAGTTTCCTTTCTTTTCATGACTATTGACTTTGTAGATTCACACTGAAGGCATCAACACTATGAATGAACACATGTGGAATTATGTACTTAACAAAAGAGTGTGAAACAACTGAAAACATGTCTTATATTGTAGGTTCTTCAAAGTAGCCNAGGTTTTCTGCTTTTGTAGCTTTTTGAACCTGAGTCACGCTCAGTTTAATTTGTCTTTTTGCACAATTTAATTTCCAATAAAGACTCTTTCATGTCAAAGTGAAAACGGATTTACACAAAGTAATGTGACCAATTTAAAGATAAAAACGTCTGAATACATAAAGGTGTCGATTTCTGCCTTGTTTTTTCATTTTGTGTCTTGTTTATGGAGTTTCTGTGGTCGTCGTGTCTCCTCATCCTGCAGATGTTGAACTATTTACACGTTTCAGCCTCGACACACTCGTCTCCTCTCTTGTTTTATTTTGGTTGTCTTGGGCGTCTCATTTTTGTTGTTTTGTGACTCGTTTGTGTAGTTTAGTGTGTCTCTGTGCTCAGGTCGTCTCTTTTTTTCTGACAGAACAACACAGTGGAGACGAGCAAGAGGATTGTGGGAGCGCCGAGCCCGTCCCGGTCCGTTCTGCTACCTCGGCCTTCACGATCCGGTCCACGATGGTCTCCAGAGTTTCCAGCCTGTTGCACTTCATGACTCCTTCAAAGTACTGGGATCTGTGGCGGAGCGCCTGCGTCACCGTCACGTCCAGGTTGTTGTAGGTCTTCTCAGCCGCCAGGTTCTACCGCACACACACACAGACACACACAGACACACACAGACACACACTCAGCAACACAAGCGCCAACACAGCTGTGAGCAGCACCACAGTGTCACCAGGACAGAGTACTCACAATGACGTCGAACTTGGAGTAGATGTCCACCACTTTACCTGCAGACACACACAGGGTTAGTGTTGTGTGTCTGTCTGTCTGTGGCACTATCCATGTGTTGCTGTGTGTGTTGTTGTGTTAACGTGTGTTGTGTTGTTGTTGTGTTGCTGTGTTACCATGGCGATCCACTACAGGCAGTGCAGACACCCTGCAGTGCGTGTTATTGCGTTGTTGTGTTGCGTTACCGTGTGTTGTTGTGTTACCGTGTGTTGAGGTTGTTGCTGTGTTGCTGTGTTACCATGGTGATCCACTACAGGCAGTGCAGACACCCTGCGGTGCGTGAACACCGACAGGGCGGTGATCAGAGGCGTGTCTGGGTGGATGTAGGCGATGTTGGTGTACGTCCCGACCCCGAGCTCCTCCAGAGTCTGCTTCATGAAGGCCGGCATGGGCATCTCACACACCTGGCGCACAACACACACACACACACACACACACACACNTGGCCTCCACAGGCACCGGACCTGAACCCAATCGAGATGGTTTGGGCTGAGCTGGACCACAGAGTGAAGGCAAAAGGGCCAACAAGCATCTCTGGGAACTCCTTCAAGACTGTTGGAAGACCACTTCAGGTGACGACCTCTTGAAGCTCATCAGGAGAACGCAGAGTGTGTGTGAAGCAGTAATCACAGCAAAAGGCGGCTACTTTGAAGAACCTACAATATAAGACATGTTTTCAGTTGTTGTACACTTGTTTAAGTACATAATTCCACATGTGTTCATTCATAGTGTTGATGCCTTCAGTGTGAATCTACAAAGTCAATAGTCATGAAAATAAAGGAAACCCATTGAATGAGAAGATGTGTCCAAACTTTGGTCTGTACATATATAAAGAACATCAATAAATCCAAACACATAAATAAATATGTGTATATATACATTACATAGTGACACAGAGACAGTGGAGAACAGCAGCACGGTGCAATATTAGTAATAATAATAATAATAATGGAAACAGGAACAGTGTCAACATTTTCTAGGAGTACAACACAAAGGTTTGAGGATGAGGTGAATAATGTTCAGTCAGAGACCTTTGAGCTGTTTCTGGGCTTCAGTGACGTTCTGCCTCCATCTAGCTGCAGGAACAACGAACAGCACTCGCATTCAGACGGCTTCAGTGTGCTTCAGTCCACACCGAGCCCAAACACCAGAGTACGTTGTAAACACAAGAAATGTCTCCGTAGGAGGTCTGTGGAATCACCAACATAACACAAGCCGAGATAGAACAGTTATATGAGACAAATGTCCAAAGACTTGTTTTTCTGAAAGAGAGGAAGAGTCGCAGTGAAGCTGCTGAAGGAGCCAAACAGAAACTATGAAGCTGAGAGAATTCTGCAGGTTTCATCTGACAGGAAAAGTTCAAACGACTTCAGACGGAGCTGCTTTCAGAAGCGCACACGTTCTGAAGATGAAGGGAAACTAGCAGTGAGATCAGCCAACGGACTGCACTGAGAACAGATTCCAGGTTTCTTCAGCTTATTGTAGATGTTCAGCACTGACCTCCACGTTCCTTGGAGCTCCTCTGCAGTGAAGAACCTGGCAGAAAACCCTGAAGGATGAGCAGCAGCTCCAAAGCAGTCCGGCTGCAGTTCTCCAGGAGCTCACTCTTCCTCCTTCCTTTCTGCTGACGGCAGCTTGTGAGCGACGCCAACAAGGACTCAGGGTTCTCCACTGATTCACGGCTCTAAACACGTGAGACTTTCTGAAGACATGCTGCCCACTTCGCTCTTCATTCACCACCTTTCATGAAGAACTCACCTCCTGACAGCTTGAACACCAGGATGAGCAAAGAAGGAAGCGGTCTGGCTGTGATCGGTGATCTGTGAGTTACTAACAATGACATGAAAACGACGACAGCAGATAACTCAGTTCTTTGTTTCAGAACCAAGAGCAGAGAACCGTCTCTGGATCACGGTCTGCTTGACTTTTATTCTGACATGCTCACATTCTGCTCCCTCTTCCTGTCTCTCTGCAGTTCTGCCGTTTGTCCCAAATGAGAAATGAAACAACAATCTGCAAAAACCTAAACTGGATCATCTTTTAGTTTGGTTTTATCGTTTGGAAACAAAACCTCACGAGACCACATGACTTACTTACTAATTAACAAACAAACAAACAAACAACTCTGCATGACCTCTGTGTTTGGCTTCCAAAGGAAAAGGAAAAAGGTATTTCCCATTTCCAACAGTTGGTCACGTTTGATGGGTTTTTCATGTTCTGATTCTGACCCCAGAAGGTTTTTTAGTTGTAGGACAAAGAACAGAACTACAGAGGATCTAACGGCACTCCAACCGACCCAGCAGGCTCATACGGACTACTGACAAGACCTGGGAACCCACCAACCCTCTGAGCAAGCGGTCTGCAGCGGTGGGACGGAACCAGAAAGAAGAACGTTTTGGGTTGTTTTGTGATCAGTGGGGATTTTCCAGTCTGGTCCCATCGATGTGCGTCTGGGAGCTTCAGTCGATCCTCCGGTCGGAACGGAGAGCAGAAGGACACAGAATGGCCTTCTTCATATCCTGCAGCATCATTAATCATCCATCATCTCCGGGGGGCGGAGCCTATCCCAGCTGGCTGAAGGCAGGTTCCCCTGGACAGGTAACCAGAGACTCACACTCACGCCTACAGGCAGTCTCGAGCCACCCGCTGACCTCAGCACGTCTCTGGACTGAGGAAGTCCAATTTGTTCTATTCATGGACGGGATCCACCGGCGCAGCGGATTTTTGCAGATGACCTGGTTCTGGCTCAGAGTTTGCAGCCAGATGAGAGTCAGCGTCTCCGAGTCCGAGATTCTCCGGCAGGAAGTGAAGAAGTCTGAGTATCTCTGGATCTTGTTTGTGAACGGTGATGAGATGGACTGATGGGCTGTGAAAAGAGAGCTGAACCTCCACTGAGCTCTGGTTCTGACCCAAACACACAGATACCAGCAGCTAAAGTTAGTTTTCTCTGTAAGGCAGCTGCTTTATGGAAACACGGCTCACCGGACCTGGAAACACGGCTCACCGGACCTGGAAACAC